AAATATATGTTAGGCCGTTTTAGCATGTGAACCTCACTGAGGCAAAAGAACGTAAGAATTCCATAAGAACCACTAATGAATTTTAGCCACATCCAAATCGGTATGAATTTCATTGATTTGCCTTATGAAAAATGTTGACAAAAAATAATAAAATGCAGCAGACAGGAACCGAATTATGGACACTTAGATTACATGACAGGAATGTTGACCACTCGTCTTTCAACGCTTGAGAGAATGAAATGGTTAAAGGCATTAATTTAAGAGCTACCTCTTGTTAGACGAACATCATTGATAAATCACGCTTATGAAATTCATGTGTCGTTCATAAGTCGAGCCTTATGAAATTCTTAACTTTGTTTGCCTCGGTGATGAATGATTCGAAAAATTTCGTTGATCGGCCGTTATGAAAATCAAATTATTTTTAATGACCCTCCTCGAACTGTTCAACCAGGCCTGGACTGACCGCCAGATGCCGAACACCTGGAAACACAGTCTAATCGTACCCATTCCGAAAAACCCCGGACCGGCATTACTGCCTAAGGACTTCCGACCGATCTCCCTGACCAGCTGTTGCAGCAAAATTATGGCGCGCTTGGTTAACCGAAGACTGACGGGCTTCCTCGAAGGGAACAGCCTGTTGGACCACCGGCAACACGCTTTTCGACCTGGCCACGGAACCGGCACCTATTTTAATAGCCTCGGCCAGATCGTCCAGGAGGCACTCCGTAAGGACCAACACGTAGAGTTGGCCTCCCTGGATCTGGCTAAGGCTTACAACAAGGCATGGACACCACAAGTCCTACACCAACTGTCCAAATGGGGTCTTGGAGGAAATATTCTCTACTTCCTGAGGAATTACCTACAGGACAGGACATTCCAGGTGACCATCGGTAATCATCGATCCAACACCAGGCGAGAGGAGACTGGAGTTCCACAGGGTTCCGTAATTGCTGTCACCATCTTCTTGGTGGCAATGAACGGAATCTTTGTGGGATTGCCAAAGGAAATATACATCCTGGTGTATGCGGACGACATCTTGCTCCTAGTAGTCGGGAAAACTCTAAAAGCAATGAAGGTAAAATTGCAGGCGGCGGTCTCTGCGGTTGGTAGATGGGCCGCCAAGACAGGCTTTGCGATATCAGCCGAGAAAAGCTCGGTTTCCCATGTCTGCCAGCATGAACACCGGCCACTACCGACCCCGATTAGGGTCGATAAGCAGGCAATCCCCAGGAGGAAATCCATCTCCATACTAGGAGTCACGATTGACCGAAACTTCCGTTTCGGCCCCCACCTCAACGAGGTCAAGGCCAACTGTCGAACAAGACTAAACATCCTTCGCTCCCTATCCGGTCCACACAAGGTGAACAACCGAGGTATTGTGTGAACACCGCCAGATCCATCGTCCACAGCCGACTGACATATGGAATCGAACTTCTATGCGCGTCCAGCGACTCCATCATCTCCCGTCTTGCACCGATATACAACCAGGCTACTCGGATTGCAGCCGGTCTACTGCCATCAACACCAGCCGACGCCGCATGCATTGAGACCGGAACACTACCGTTCCGGTTTTTCATTGCGGAGTCGGTTTGTACGAGAGCCGTGTGACTCGACGAGCAACTCAGCGGAGACGGAGATTTCTATCTCCTCTCGGAGGGGAAACGAATTCTCCAAGAGACCGCCCACCAGGAGCTCCCTCCGGTGTCTAAACTCCACTGGGTCGGAGCCAGGGAGTGGGATGCCTCCCCCAACCGATCAGATAGAACCATGGCCAACCGATTCAGAGCAGGAGACAACTCGGCGGAAATGAGAACCTGCCTCACCGAGCGACTGAGAACGATGTACCATAACCACCAACTCCGATACACCGACGGATCGAAGGCTAGGGGCCGAGTAGGTTTTGGAGTAACTGATGGCCGAACATCCCATTTCTGGAAACTCCCGGACCAATGCTCGGTCTTCTCAGCAGAAGCAGCAGCCCTACATTACGCGGCCTCCCTACCATCCTCCTCCCCTCTATGCATACTCACGGACTCCGCCAGCGCTCTGGCTGCATTGGAATCTTCCACTGCACGCCACCCGTGGATTCAGGCCATCCAGAAGCACACACAACCCGGCACCACCTTCATGTGGATACCGGGCCACTGCGGAATCGCCGGTAACATTGAAGCCGACCACCTCGCGGCCACCGGACGAAGCGGCCGTCTTGCCCACAAGTCGGTCCCCAGACAAGACCTAAAAGTCTGGATAAAATCTACCATCAGGTCAGCATGGGGCAACGAATGGAACAGCAACCAAGAGCTTTTCATTAGAAAGGTCAAAGGGGAAACGGCCCCATGGACGGACACCAAAAATTACGCGGAACAGAGAATACTCTCCAGACTTCGAACCGGTCACACCCGGATTACTCACAACATGGGAAGCAGCAGCGGTGGAGGCTTCCGGAGGAGATGCGACGCGTGCCGAACAACGATGACGGTTGAGCACATCCTTATCAACTGCCCGTGTTTCCACGGATCACGGGAGTTGTACGGTCTGGCCGACAACATTCGGGACGTCCTCCAAAACGACCCGGTAGCGGAAATCCAACTCATCTGCTTTACGAAGGAAGCAGGAATCTACAAAAATATTTAAAATACGATATTGATAGCAGGCCCGGCAACCCTGCCGGCAGCGGCTGCCAGGGTCACCTGGCAGTTTCTGCCGGTGGGGCTCTACCGGGGTCCTGAATTTAGTCACTATAACACGAAAAATACTATTTTGATAGCAGGCCCGGCAACCCCTGCCGGTAGCAGCTGCCAGGTTCACCTGGCAGCCTCTGCCGGTGGGGCTCTACCGGGGTCTTTTAGACAGCCTTTGAAATGAAAATTTGACAGCTAGCTGAGACAGGAAACATAAGTTTCAAAAACCAAAACTCTGTACATTCTAAAAACTCTGTAAACCCCCTTTTCCCCTAGGAATACCCCCCTCTGGGGTATTCGGAGACGAGCCAGCCAACGGCTGAAAGTCTCCTTAATAAAGATATATAAAAAAAAAAAAATTATTTTTAATGATTTTTATCGATAATGCGGAACATTCCTATACGACCGGTAGTTATTTAGCGGTGCTATGCAATGGTATCAAAAAACGGTTTGTTTACATTTTGGTCATAGGCCCTTTTCAAAGTTACGCGAGATCTCTAAACGGTTATTTTTGAACGCCTTTTTTTATTAAGGCAGGGCCGGTAGGGGTTGATGTTTGAGTAGGGTTTATTATTAAAGAACCGGTAATTGGAAAATTGAATTTAAATGGACACCCTGAAATTTTTGCGATCAGTTTCGAGCTCTCATTGAACAAAGCTAGTAGTGTCCAGTTCTGTTTGTCACTTGCACCCGTTTAATACACTGATATCTTTTTTTACGCGGTTTTTTTTTACACGGTTTTTCGCGATTTACGCGGTACATTTTTAACGATAAATCGACAACGATACAACCTATCGAATTGATTCCAATCACATTATCCGTTTCAAGCTATAGGTAATCAAATGGCATACTTTAAAAAAAATCAAAATTTTTTGTGTAAATACAGAAATTTTTAAAATATGTCTATTTGGACCATGCTGTTATTACAAATGGCATCGAAATCCGATTTTTTTAAAAAGTTTAAACATGTGAAAAATCAAAATCTCGTAGGTTTTTTTTTACACGGTACGTATCCTCCGTGTAAAAAAGACCTGAGTGTATTTCAGTGCCACCATTTCAAAGGGGCGTAATTGCTTTTGTAAACAATGGCTTTAGCCGTCGATTTCTCGCAAATAAAAGTTCACTCCTCTAAATTAACAACGCTAGCAGGTAGAGAAAACATTCCTCTATCTGCTGGTGTAATTAATTTTCATGAGTGAGCTTTTATTTGCGAGAAATCGACGGCTAAAGCCATTGTTTACAAATACAATTACGCCCCTTTGAAATGTTGGCACTGATTTGGTTGTTTTCACTATTGCTGGATCCATAAAAAAAAACATTATTATTATACGTATACGTAGCGATGGCATTCTGCCAGCCATTGTTTCATTTTCCATCAGTCGCCAGTGACACTCGAGAGTTCTGGAACATTTTTCTTATCAGTACCGTTCAAGGCGTTCGATGTATTTTCTTGCGCTTTGTTATTTCGTTTTTTTTTTATGGTAGTTAATGATTCACCGTGTTCTCATCATTCAAGCGTTGTCAAATTGCCAGTTGCCACAATATCCATTAATTATTGCGTTGAAACTATTTTTGCTGAAGTGAACAAACTGGCTCTACATGAATATTGATTATTTGCTGAATTCCCTGTTAAATTAAGGGGCAAAGATAACTTATCTATAAAATATAAAGACAGTACCACAACAGAACCAACAAGAAGAAGGTAAACACTTCAAGAAAAACAAGAAAAAGTTGTAATTTACAGCTCGTTTGTTTTGGAGCTCTCCACTTGAAGACGATGATCTTTTTGTGCCTTATTTGCGCTCCCGTGAGTATAATTCCCTGGAATTTTCGGCTCGCTACTCGCTTGATTGCTATACGCAGCTTAACTGGAATTTGTAAGCCTAATTCACAGTGCTGTTCCTCTAATTACCGCTGCTTGCTCTATGGCAGCCGCTGTTGTTTCTACTTCTCACTGCTATCCACCCAACCGAACAGAGAGAGAGAGTGTTGATTAATAATTCATAATGCAACGATCAGGTCCACAACAGAATCAGCCAACACTCCGTGTTGATCATTTTTTTTTTATGAATTTATGCTCTGGAACTATAAGGATTCCTCCACATCCACTTCATCGAACTACTTTCCTCCGGTCAGTCCACTCGCTGACCACAGGAATTTCCATGACTCAACCTTATATAATTTCGTCACCTCCATCGGAAAAGACACCGAACCCCTTCGGGAATCTGGCTCACTATTATCTTCCCCGTCAACCAACCCGTTTCCACCATACAGCACACTAAATCCCGTCTGACATAGCAAAAATTACATTAATCACACTCACTTTTTTCCGCTTCTATTTTCCCCGTTCAAACCGAAACGGATCTTCTATTATTTTTTTTTTTGCTGCTGTTGTGTCGTCAAAAACAGCTTTGATTCACTGCAGCTGCTTCTTCTTTTCCCACTTTCTACGTCAAGCGAACCAGCAGTTTCCGAAAATTATTGTCTTTTATGTTCCTCCGACACTCACGCAACGTTCGGAACCGTTCACATTGCTCCTGCTGCCGGGAGGAATTGGTTTCGCACTCGAAAGGGAACCTCTTAGCGACACTTTTACGAAAAATATAGCACTTAAATTTGACGATGCAGAATATTTTCTTCGCTTTTCCAAATGGCTACGATTTTGCACTTTCTTGCACCCACCAGCAGCAAAAGCATCAACTCGCGAGTCGTCAGCCGTCAATGGTGTTCAGTCAAGGGTACACTTGTTGCCATCTGTCATCGGGTGCAGATCGATTATTTTTATTAATAATCAAGCCGAACAATGGATTAGGTCCTAAGTAATATTGATCGATTATCTTCAACGACTTTCTCTTTCGAAAAATTAGCTACAAAACCGTTTTTCCCGTGTTTGCCATATTAGATGCAGTCCCATATGGTAACCACTAGAGTCGGTGTATAATGAGTCACGCCAAGAGAAAACAGTTGAACTCGCATCACGGTTTTCGAAAGATTCCAATTCTTTTCACTTGGCAACAGAGGACTTCTACAACAACTTCAAATGACTTCTAGCGAGAGAAAAAATACTGCGGCTGTAGTAAATCATTATATCAGTGATTTTGTCGAATTATCTTAACAAAAAATAGTAGAAATTCTCATTACTAATCATTACCGAGCGTATCCCATGACAATTTAACGCTCACTGCGTGTTTATGCTCATTTCTTCGATTATATTTTATATTTTATTGCAATATCTTTCGTGAACCTTTCATAGCATCGTAATGTTTATTTACTTTGCACGATAGGTAGCCGCTTTGACAGTTCAATAGGTAGACTTGGCTTCACTCTTGGCGTGACTCATTATACACCGACTCTAGTAACCACTACTATTTCGTGGGTTAAAAATGAAAACAAAATACCACTAAATAAGGTGATCCAAGAGACGTTTCTCAGTGGAACTGACAACTAGAAATCAAGAGTGTGTGAGTGATCTGGTGTTAATGGTGCTGAATGTACATAAACAAAGCAGAAATTCATATGAGACTGAACTGTCAGCTCTACTGTGATCTGTCAAAAGCTCTTGGTAAACAAAAAAGTCAGCTGATCGCAACTCCGGAGAACTTCGAGATTAGGGCGTAATTGCTTTTGTAAACAAACACTTCATTTGACGATTTCTCGCGAATTTAAGCTCAATCTCAAAATCTAACAACACAAACAGGTAGATGAATGGTTCCTCTATCATTTGGTATAGATTGTTCACGAGATTATTCTGTTATTTGCGAGAAATCAGCGATTGAAATGTTTGTTTACAAAAGCAATTACGCCCAAATCTCAAAGTTCTCCGGAACTGTCTCGTGGACAGCCTTATTTCGGTAGAACGAATATTGTATTTGAAATGAATACAATTGGGCTCTTTAATTTTGCAAACTACAGTAGAAACTCTTTATAACGACCATCTGTATAGTGACAAATCTCTCTGTAACGACATTTCCACAGGTCCCTTCAAATTATCATAGAAATCCTCTTCTGTATTGCGACATTTCGCTATAACGACCTTTCTCCTTAACGACACACCATCGTTGCTTTTTACCCGTACTTGTCATTCTCTATTGCGACATTCTTCATCTAAGAGTGGTTTAATAGCCGTAGACAATATTAAATTTAAAGATTTAATAAAAGATGTTTTTTTGGTCATAGATTTTTTGTTTAAAAATTTAACCATCGGTATTGTTTATTTTACTTAAATTCCTACGGTATGGAACTCATTTGTAAACAATAGATATTATACATATACCAAATTTGCCTACATTTAAACTGAATTTAGACCACTTGAACGAGATTTTCACGTAGAGTTTAACTTACGAATTCTTGTTAATAAGCAGATGCATTAAAGTTCGTGTCAAGTAAAACTGCATTGCTTTCGCTTTCAGTTTACGGTCAAAAATGAGTTCAAAAAATAGAAAAGCATTCAAATTACAGAATAAACTGGACATAATCGAAAAATTCGAAAATTTAAAATGCTCACTGAGAAAGGTATTGATTAATTTGGAGGTAGAAACATGTATGTAATGTTTCAATAATATTATTTATAAAATTTGTATATTCCAGACAACGTGACTTTTGACGACGGCCTTTGTGAAGGAGGACTTTGACTGACGATGACATACATAGTAAGTATTGTCCACGATCAGCCATCAGCAGCAGTATCGATGTTCAAAATCACTCAGCGACAGATGAAACTGTTGACAATGAACTAACCAGCGCGCCTTCAAAGAATCAACTTTCAGATGCTTTCCAAACAATCTATGCTAGTTTATTAACTACGGAAGATCTGCAAAAGGACAGTTTCAGCAAAAAAAATTTAATTAAAAAACAGGTTCTACACAGACAAAAATTCTGAATTTTAACTTTCGCGTAAAATCTCCTCTCGTTTTATTTTGAGCTACAGTTGGCATAAACAACGAAATCATTTATAAGCTTGCATACAATATTGCTAATTTAAGCGTTATTGAGCTCAAATTTACACGAAATATCGTCTAAATTTACACCAAATAAAGCGTTAATTTCATGTGCGCTATATCTCTCAGAAATTTACATGAATTTTTCAAACGGTATAAGGGACGAATGAATGGAATGGGTTTAATCTTAAACGATATGTATTGTATTGTTAAAAATCGATTGCAATCATCTAAAAATATACTTTGATTGTTTAGCATGGAGTAACGTTTCTCTCTTTATAACGACATTGAAATTCTATATAACGACTATCTTTTATAACGACAGTTCTCTAAAACGACAGTCCCCTGCGATGTCGCTATAAAGAGCTTCGACTGTATTAGGTTCTGCAGCGTGACGTCACAAATGAACTCAGTGTTAATAGGCTGAACGTTTTTGACAGTTCAGTGGTACTGTTTACAAGCACTTAGTCGTTTTTTTTCGAAAAAACAAATTCTAAAATTTCAGAATTTTAACTTGAAAATTGTCGAGGAACAGCGCGATGAAAGGATGTTGCTCGTGGACAATGCAGAAGTGTGGTTTACATCTCACTGCAGTCTGAAAAATTATCGAGAAAATCTACCCAAGAAAAAAACGACTAAGTCCACGTAAACAGCACCACTGAACTGTCATCAGATTGAGGTTAACCCCGACGGTGCAAAACCTAATATCGGTTTTTATATATCACCTGAAAGAGCTTCGTTTTCTGCTCGGTTTTCTGAGCATAGACCTTTTTGACGTTTGATAGTCTTTCTCTGTCCAGCACACATGAATGAATGAACGGTTTGTTTTCCCACTAATCTGTTTCCCTCTTGCTTGCACTCGTTCAATTTAAATGGTTCAGTAGTGTGCGCCGATTAAACGTCAAAAAGCTCTATAGCGATATATTTTTCGAACCAACACACTTTCATCTCGATTTTTAAATCAAGATTTAGAGCAAAATAATAACTTCACTGTTTGACACTAAACTGACAAACTGACAGCTCGCTCCCATACAAAGTGACATCGAGGGGCGCTAATAAGGTGAGTTTTATAAATGTAATCGTTCTTATTTAAAATAGTTCCAGTGTACCAAACAAAATTGATGAAATTTTGGTTTTGGGTTATGCATTTACCTCAATACCCTTAAAGAACTCAATTGTTGTTGATGTTACCATGCTGCGTCAAAAACGTTAGCGTAGTACATGCGCTAATACCAACAATCATTACGAAACTAACGATTTTAAATTGGCTCACTACTTGACTAGCCTATTGGTCCCAAGCAAACGATTTACGTACCCCATTCTAGTCGAAATTCTAGTACTACGCAATGTTTGTTTTGATTCGCAATGAAATTTTGACAGATAAAATGAGGGGTTATTGGATTTTCCTATGTTTAGAGGGGTGAATCGATTAGCTTAGGACCGAATATAGTATAAGAGCTGAGCCAAAAAGTTGAGCACGTTTCTTCGGGATTTTCTGGTCTTAGAGTCACCTCTATGGTACAATCATAGAGGTAACTCTAAGACTAGAAGGTCCCGAAGAAACGTGCTCAACTTTTTGGCTCAGTTCTGGTACTTTCTTCGGTCCCATGCTAATCGATTCACTTCTCGAAACATAGGAAAATCCACGAACCCCTCATTTTATCTGTCAAACTTTCATAGCGAATCAAAACAAACATTGTGTACTACTAGAATTTCGACTAGAATGGGGTACGTTAATCGTTTGCTTGGGACCAATAGGCTAGTCAAGTAGTGAGCCAATTTAGTACAAGAGCTGAGCCAAAAAGTTGAGCACATTTCTTCGGGACCTTCTGGTCTTAGAGTTACCTCTATGGTAGTACTGTTGCCATGTGGTACACTGAAAAATTGCAATAGCAGGTTCGTCACCAAAGTTTGTGCTTTAACATCCTGTTTACGTTTCACTTAAATATGAGCTATTTACTATATCCGGAGAACTTTTAGATTTGGGTGTAATTAAACAAACACGTCAATCGCTGATTTCTCGCGAATTTTTATTCGTGCACAATCTCGCAAACAAACTATACCAAATGATAGAGGAATCATTCCTCAACTGTTTGTGCTGTTAGTTTTTTTTTTTTGATTGAGTTTTAATTTACGAGAAAGCAATTACGTCCTAATATCGAAGTTCCTAGGATTTTCACTTTTGTTGGTAAACAACATTGGTTTCGAATCCATTTTTAAGTTTGCTAGAAAGAAATGAGAGCTCAACTTTGGCATGTAGATACATTGTGTTTCAGAGCATCTATTGGCCAAATTTGTGTGTTCTAGGACCCTGACGATAATAAGTTAAGGTATTGCCGAAGCCGACATTTCCCCTAGCATATTTTATAACGTTTTTGATTTTGTTTTAAACTGCCTGGAAATTTTTCGAAAACCTGGAAAACTCAGGGAATTTTATTTAGCAAAATGAGTAGACACTTTGCTATCACAGAATCAACTGGTTTGCGTCGGTCACGAACGCCAAATGCAGTTCCTATTTTCAATGGCATTTTAAGGAACATAAGTGACACTCTCAAATGAAGTTCTTTCACCCCTACCTGGTAGACCGTTTAACGAGACCTTAATAGAATAAAGCAAGCATAGGTGAACAAGAAACTACATACGTGTTTTTAGTCGTTGTAGACAGTTTTTCAAAATGGATAGAATTGGAGCATATGAAGACTACCACGGACTGTAGAACGGTTACTAAGGTTTTTATAAGTATTTTTGCAAGATATGGAAAACCTGATGTTTAAGTCACCGACGGAGGCCCCCCTTTCAATTCTGGAAGGTTAGTAAAGTTTTTTGAGAAGCAAGGAATACGGGTAATGAAAAGCCCACCTACCACCCGGAAAGCAATGGACAGGCAGAAAGGATGGTTCGTTTGGTAAAGGATGTGTTTAAGAAGTTCCTTCTAGATCCTGAAATGCAAAAACTGGATACTGATTTACAGGTTTCATATTTTTTATTTAACTACAGGTATACAATTTTGAATGCTGATGGTAAATTACCATCAGAAAAACTCCTCGCGTATAAACCAAAAACCCTTTTGGATTTGATAAATCCCACAAAAACAGTTCAAGGAATTTTGACACTAATGTGCATGATGATTACTATAACATGAATACTAGCAAGCCTGATAATTTCAATGATGATTTTGCTAAGCTAAAAAATGGTGATCTGATTTACTACAGAAAAAATAACAAGACTGACATAAGAAGATGGCTTCCTGCAAAATATTTAAGCAGAGTTTCTGAAAATGTTTTCGAGATTTCGCTCAGCGAAAGAATCATCACGGCGCACAAACAACAGATTAAGGTTTATGAAGGTTCTCGCCCGAAAGCAAACAGACGTTTAGTTTTCCATGGAGAGAACAAGCAACAAACCAGTACCAAACGAAGAAGGGAGGACGATTTTGAAGATGACGGAGAGATCTCAGATTCTGAATCCGAGTTTTATGGTTTGCCGGCGGATTCTTTTATTTTTGGAGATCATCCCTGTGAACAGCAAGTTGAGGAGATTCAACGTTCAGAAGTACCAAGAAACATAAGAAAAACCAATCGAAATGTGAAAAAGAAGCTGAAGAAGGATTTCGTTTATTATTGAAATATTTTGAATTCTCATTAGAATATCGATTACCAGAAGATTACATTTTAACTTAAGGAAGGAGGAGTTGTAGTGATGTTAGTGAAGAGATTTGAGCTACGGGTTAGGTTTAGAGATAAAAAGAGAAAACGAGAAATCAAGAGAGTGAGTTCTCGCTAACGAATGTATAGAAGGTAAAGACGATAATATATGGGTTCAGAATTTGTACAACCATCAACGGATTAAGTGTTTTATTATTTACTCACATCACCTCGACTCGGTACCCCTTTTTATAGTTATTTCAAGTACCACAGTACCAGGCATGGAAAATCATTTGCATTCATTTCATACATTCATTTACATTCATTTGCCTTTAACTTTTGTCATCAATAGCATTCCGCAAAATAATGTATTGAGCTTTTGTAGGTTTTGTTATAAGCTACAACTTTTGCTCTTAACTCAAATCTGTATCTCTTATGTATCACGAACTAGAGTGGGCAGAACTTGTTACTGTTTTTCAGTGAATGTAAAATACATTCACTGAAAAACATTAGTGGCTTCTGTTCGCTCTGGTTCGTCATGCATAAGAGAAACGGATTTGACTTGTTAACAAAAGTTGTAGCTAATAACAAAACCTACAAAAGCTCTATTCATCATTTTGCGGAATGCTGTTGAAGAAAAAAGTTAGAGGCAAATGAATGTAAATGAATGCACGAAATGAATGCAAATGATTTTCCATGCCTGCACAGTACCGAGTGGAACTACACAGCAAAAAAAGTTGTTGAATACTCGGTTGAATATTACATCGAAACTGCTGCAACCAGGTCAATCCATCGGCTGTGTAATATCACATTGTACGATGTACATCGATTTTGCGAACAAAATTACATCCATTGATGTAATATTGTATCTGCTCTTTGCTATTACATCATTATTTCATACATCAGCTTGAATTACGTTGATCGATATTACATTTTTTTTGCTGTGTACGTGCTCGTGCACTTTTGTCGGAAAAACCTCGGGAAAACCAAGGGGGGGAGGTGGCTGTCAAATACGAACAATCGTCGCCTACCTCGCATAACTGGTTCCAAACGTAAACAAGCCATAAGAAACCTACAGCGTTTGTTTACATTTGGAACCAGTTTCATACAAAATGATCAGTAGGCTGATTTGACAGCACATCCCCCCAGGGAAAAACAACTAACCAACCCTAATAAAAAATTACCACAAACGAACGATAACCTAAATCATTGAACAATTCCACAAATGGTTTGGATGATACCCCGAACACGTCATTAAGCAAATTAACCATACCATTTTTATTAGGGAAGCTCGTCGCTTTTGATAAGGAATTTTAAAAAAAATGTCCAAATTTTTTTCAGTGCCAACCAAAGAATAACATTCAATAAAAATTATTTCTTTTGAAAACAAATCAAGCCAAAATGCTCACCGAGCTTACCTATGACGCGCATCCCCGGTCTCTGATTTTCTGTCATCGTTCGGGTTTTGTTCATCCATCATACCGTTCATTACTACTTGTTCATTCGTGTCTGCTACTTCAGCCAGTTGTGACCGCGTTGCATTTTTTCTCTGCTAAAAAGGTGAGTTTTCCGATATTATTTGAGAGGTTTTGGTATAATTTCATCTTTTTGTTGTAAAGTAAGCGAAGCCCGCTCCAAATGAGGTAAAATTTAGTGATTTTGGTTCGTTTTCTCGCGGGGAAAGTAGAATTTAAATTAGCGAATTTTACCTCATGCTGAATTTTTCAAAATGGCCGACCACTGGCTTTAGCCGGTCGGTGATGTGGTGGCGCTATGCCACTGACGGCTTGAACATGTAATTCGAAATTCAATGTTGATATTTAATTTTAGTTTCCAAACAAACGTTTCGATAATGGCTGACAATGATGATCTTTTGGATTACGAGGACGAGGACCAGACCGAGCAGGTTACCACCGAGCCGGCCGAACAGCCAAAGAAGGATGTAAAGGGAACGTACGTTTCCATTCACAGTTCCGGTTTTCGGGATTTCCTCCTGAAGCCGGAAATCCTGCGCGCCATCGTCGATTGCGGTTTCGAGCATCCGTCTGAAGGTTAGTATTGTATTAGCTGTGATCTGAATTCAGATTATGCTTAATGCGTATTTCTCTGGCAGGCATAGAGATAAGCTTGAATGCCTTCAAGGTTGTGTCCGTGTTGCCAGTTCTTTTGGCTTGTCAAAATGATGATAAATCACACTATTTAGTAGATAGGGACATCTGATCTAAGATGATTGATTTGTGAACTTTACTGAACGATAAAAATGGAAATTTTTGTTCATTAACATGCGTGGATGGATGGATTCTAATGTTTGTTTGTTTGTTTTTCTTTCCAGTACAACACGAATGTATTCCACAGGCGGTGCTCGGAATGGACATCCTGTGCCAGGCCAAATCTGGCATGGGAAAGACGGCGGTGTTCGTGTTGGCCACGCTGCAGCAATTGGAGCCAACGGAAAACGTTCCGTACGTGCTGGTAATGTGCCACACCCGTGAGTTGGCTTTCCAGATCAGCAAGGAGTACGAACGGTTCTCGAAGTATATGCCCAGCATTAAGGTGGCCGTCTTCTTCGGCGGTTTGCCAATCCAAAAGGACGAAGAGGTTCTGAAATCGAGTAACCCGCACATTATCGTTGGAACGCCGGGACGTGTTCTGGCCCTTATCCGGAACAAAAAGTTAAATCTGAAGCACCTCAAGCACTTCATTCTCGACGAGTGCGACAAAATGCTTGAACAATTAGGTAAGAAAAAAATACGGTTATCATTCTCAACCATACCTAAATGATGAAAACAACTCCATTTTGTAGATAGGGACATCTGAGTCTCTTCTAGTGATTGATTCCATATATAATTTCTGATCTAATTCGTGCAAGACAAAACCTGAATGATAATCAGCTTTACAACGTTTAACCAATTTTTTATTTCGCTTCTTTACAGACATGCGTCGAGATGTGCAGGAAATCTTCCGCAACACACCGCACGGCAAACAAGTGATGATGTTCTCCGCCACCCTTAGCAAGGAGATCCGGCCAGTGTGCAAGAAGTTCATGCAAGATGTAATTAGAACCAATTCTCCTACTATTACTACTACTACTGTCTCCTGTACCGCTGGGACTAGCACTTCAGCTATTGCCTATAATGTCCGCCTCCTCGAAAGCGATTGTGTTGGTGGGAATAGTTTACCGTACCGCTGGGATTGTGGGTTTAAATCACTCCAACCGCTAACGCACAACCAAACCGTTAAATCATACTCCTGGCCGGTGATCGGAAAGGTCTCCTGAGCATAATATCAAAATCAACCCTGTAAAAGTTGGATTCTAAAAAAATACTGCGAAAGCTGTCAAGTGAAAGTGTCTGGACGTGACACACCTTGGGACCTTGGTAAGGTTTGTATGTCCCGATTTGGCGTGTGGAGAAGCTGCATCGGAAATGGCCAGTAGATATTCTTAAAACCTAAACCTCTTAATACATCACCAAACCGTTAATACAGGGCTTTTCAGGAATCACTAATAGTTCTCAACCGTCTAAATTGATATCATAAATAATAACAATGCCAACAAATCTACTGGCCTAACAGCGACGAATAAAGCGGCGTTGGTTCCTGACTAAAGATGTCTACCGGAAAAAATAACACAATCCTCTGGATGAAGAACGGTTCCACTTCCCTGGGGGCATGATTTTGATGAAAATCGGCGATGACGACGAAGAAGCTCACATCGTCGACCTCAACAGTTGGTCGACTGAACGAGCAGAATCCGTATGTAGCCAGTCTGTAATTTCTTAATTGCTTAGACATTGTCTCATTTCAGATCTAAAGTTGCTAAGTTAGTTAATGATTCAGTTAGTTTGGATCCTAAATATGCGATGACGTGAAACTTTCCCACGAAACCAACAGAAAGTTGTTACTGGCGAGAGCGAGAGCATTTAACTTTCAGTGGCAAGAGGAAATTCAGCGCGGTGCTGGCAGTCCGTTGTAGATTAAAGTCCCTTCAGTTTGATTCCCCCGATGAATTGTTGACGAAAGTGGCCGCGATTGTAACCGAACCCTTCTCTGTTTCCCTTTCTGACATCCTCCATTTCATGTGTAATATTGAACAACGATAGCCTATGGAAGTTTACGTTGATGATGAAACCAAGTTGACTCTCCACGGTCTGCAGCAGCACTACGTCAAGTTGAAGGAAAATGAGAAAAACAAAAAGCTCTTCGAATTGCTCGATGTTCTCGAATTCAATCAGGTACTTCAGCAGCAGGATCAATTTTTGTTTGTAGTACCCAAGCTAATGCCAGATTTTTACAGGTCGTCATCTTTGTGAAGTCCGTCCAGCGTTGTATGGCCCTGGCGCAGCTATTGACGGAGCAGAATTTCCCCGCCATCGGCATCCACCGTGGAATGGTTCAGGAGGAGCGATTGTCTCGCTATCAACAGTTCAAGGATTTCCAGAAGCGTATCCTAGTGGCAACCAACCTATTCGGACGAGGCATGGATATCGAACGTGTTAACATCGTGTTCAACTACGACATGCCAGAAGATTCGGATACCTACCTGCATCGAGTGGCTCGTGCTGGCCGTTTCGGTACCAAGGGATTGGCCATCACGTTCGTTTCAGACGAAACCGATGCCAAGATTTTGAACGAAGTCCAGGACCGGTTCGATGTCAACATCACCGAACTGCCGGACGAAATTGATCTCTCGTCGTACAGTAAGTTCTAGCATTGAAAGCAACTCTTTCACTTTGTTCTAACAAAAAACACATTTCTTTCATCTCTTTTCAGTTGAAGGGCGATAATTTGACTTTCTGAAACGTGCATCGGAGAGGCACACAGATGCTTTTTTTTTTAGTTTGTTATATCCCCTATAGTGTAGAAGATAGATCGTAAAATACTCTGAGTCAAGTTTTTAACACGATCATGCGTCACCACCAAGAAACAGGAAAAAGGAGATCTACTGCAGAGTCGTGTAGTAGAACGGCAACAGCGCGCTCTTGGTGCTCGCGAAGCTTCACTAACATTCGATTAGTTTAAAAACAAACAAACAGTACGATAGAAGGAATCTGCATTCTACTGCTTTTTCAGTAGGTTTATAGTTTTTTTTTACTAGAAACAACTAAATCAAACTTGATCCCATAGGTTTAATTCCGGTAAGCTGGATAAGTAATAAAAAATGATTTGGTGAAATTGTACGACTTCAATTCGAAGAGTTTATAACGTTTGAATGTTGAAAGAACAGCCTGAAAGTTTGTCACTCACACTTAGTTTATTTCACCGAGGCCGGTAAAATAAATTGCCGAGAAACCAACAGCCGAAATTTTTCGTTAAAAATTTCGGTAAAAGTATAGAATACCGAACGCTTGGTAATTATCAGTTTTATTCAACTGTCAAATTTTACCGAAAACATCGGTACTATGCCGAGCGTTCAGCTTTTATTTTACCGAAATACCTCAAAACAAGAATAAATCTTTTACCAATCCTTCGGCAAACCGTGCATGGACATATTTAGCTTTTGCCGACTATCGTTGAAATTTCAACTCAAATTAATTGGATTATTCAGAATAGCAATAATAATAATACAAAATTAGTGAAAATTCCGTAAACAAGCCTTTATTCAAGTTATTCTCACAATGACACATTCTTTCTCACTCTTCCACTCACCCATCAGCATGCCCCGGGACTAGTTGTTTGAAGAAAAGGCAGCATAAGCCATCTCCTATCTGTATAAATCTGTAAATCTGAAAACAAATAAAGATTTATTACTTACAGAATAGTTGACTCAGCACCACCTTCACCATCGATTTGCCGCAATATTTCCTCCATTTTACACTTCATTGAATCACACGCAACACTTAAAGCAACGCAACAGACGACTTACTCTCTGCCAAAATGGCTGACAATAAATGTGCACAACTGACAGATACTTGCTCTTATTTTCAATTGCCGAGGTTCGTCACTTTTAATTACCGAAGTCGGTGAAGCAAGATTTTAACGAAATTCATGGTAAACCATTACCGAATTTCAGTAAATACTTTCGTATAACCAAAAATCGTTAATTGTATATACCGATATTCAGTAAAAACATGTTTTCTAACGATAAATCAGCAAAAATCGCGTTTTACCGATTAAGTTCAGCAATCAATTTAACCGAGATAAAAATATAAGATTAAGTGTGCTGAGCGTTCTTCTGCGTCTGGTCTGGTCCTAGCACGTCCTATTCATAATAATCTCACGAAAAAAGCAACCGATTATATTCAGCTATGACCTGCGTGGCATGATACTCGAAAGTGTCCTTGGTGTGATCGTGCATTAGCAGCGTGTACTAGAGGTACTAGATTAAAGGAGTACCTCAATCGATTAATAATTCTTGGTTGCAGTGATGTTAACAATTTGTAGATCTGTTCACGAAAAAGTGGACACCCTCCCCCCTATTCTGCGAGTCACGTGACTCTCTCTAACCGGTGAGGTGACAATAGTCACCTCGTGTGAGGTGACTCTCCATTTGATTTGCATGGAGAGTCACCTCACCGGTGAGAGAGAGTCACGTGACTCGCAGAATAAGGGGGCCTGTTTTAACTTCATTAATGTTAAAAATCTAACACTGCTTCGCGATTACGATAAAGTGGTGCCCTACCCTATTCTTGTTTTCGTTAGAACCGTATTTTTCAAACAATTTTTTTGTATGGAAGAATAGTTCGTTCTAACGAAAAAGAGAATATGAGCGAATGACTATAAAGTACGCAGCTTTTAACGAACATTAAATAATTTTACTCATTCGTGAGTAATTGTTACTACACAAATGAGTAGCAGTTAGTCATTATTGAGATTTCTGCAGTAACCATGTATGAAACATTCATAAACGTCTATAAAAAAGCGTGAGAGTTCTACGTAGACAATCGTCCATACATTTTTTGTTAAATTTTGTATGGATCGTACACAATTGGGAGGTGGCCAGCAAACCAGGAAAACCATCACTGAGTCAAAAATCTCGAAAAAATGTCATGTTCTATGACTGAAAACAAATGTGAAATCATCAGAATCATGGAAATGTTTTACATTATTTTTATATAGATTTCTGTTGATACAGATCACGATGTCTTGAAGCATTTTCTTGCTCCGAGATCATTGTATCAAGTTTAAGTTTTCTAAAACAAATTCTTGATTTAATATATTCCTCTAAAATTCGCTATAATGACCCATTCAGCCCGATTAGCCGAACGCGTGACCTTAACAAAAATCCATAACTCTGTAATTTGTAAATGCTGACGCTTTGAAATCATAAAAGGGCTCGAGCTTTAAGAACATAATCAAATTAAAACTAAGACCTATTCTGCGCCGCGAGTGAGGTGAGGTGTTTCTAGTGTGACCACAAACGAAGTGACAGGCGGCTAGCTGGCAAAGAAATCCATTTAAATAATGTGGTTCACTGTGCTTGATGTGAAGCTTGTGCCATCATCCACCAGATGGGTTAGTTTTTTTGTTTTGATTTGAACAAAGTTGATTTTGTGTACAATGATTCTTTGACAGTGTGCAAAGAGTGCGTATCATTTTGTCATTTTTTTGTGCATTTCAGTTTTGAGTAGAGTGAAAGAGATAGAATCAAAACATTCTAGTACATTTGGTGAAAATGCTAGTTCAATCTAGTAGTAGTGTTGCCATGTGGTACAATCCAGTAGTAGTGGTGTTGCCATGTGGTACACTGAAAAATTGCAATAGCAGGTTAGTCACCAAAGTTTTCGAGCCGCTCCGTCTGTCACTTCGTTTGTGGTATAGGCCTTGTCACTGGCCTCATTTTGACGATTCGATTGGAACAACTTTTGACAGACGTCCATACTTTTAGTGTAGGGCTTTACCCTAGGCCCCCTTATTCTGCGCTGAGAGTGAGATGAGGTGATTCGCTGTCACTAGTGAGGTGACTCTTCGTGCAAATCAAAAGGTGCGTCACCTCACTCGCGGTGACTTTCATCACCTCACATACTCACATGGTTTTACCATAGAGGTAACTCTAAGACAAGTAGGTCCCGAAGAAACGTGCTCAACTTTTTGGCTCACCTCTGGTACTATCTTCGGTCCCAAGCTTGTCGAATCACCCCTCGAAACATAGGAAAAACCAATAACCCCTCATTTTATCTGTCAAACTTTCATAGCGAATCAAAACAAACATTTCGTAGTACTAGAATTTCGACTTGAATAGGGTACGTTAATCGTTTGCTTGGGACCAATAGGCTACTAAAGTGGTGAGCCAATTTAAAATCGTTAGTTTCATATTGATTGTTGGTTTTACTCTGGTACTTTGGTGCTAATTTGACAGCTCCTCCTTTTCCTCTATGATTAAGCTTGGTACATGTCGCGCCGCGTTGCGGAAAATAGTGCATTCTAGATAACGTTATAGGAAAGCATGATTCATGCAAATTGGGTTGTTTAGGGGTATAGTAGTAAATACATATTCGTTATCTGCATTAAAAATGGAACCGAAATCCAAAATTTCATCATTTTTGGTACACTGGAACTATTGTAAATAAGTACGAATTACATTAGCAAAAATGACCATCTTAGCGCCCCTTGGTGTAACTTAGTATGGGAGTGAGCTATCAACGAATAGATTTATAGGCCTATATTCTGCGCGGCGTGTGAGGTGAGATGACAGTGAAGTAATGGTGAAATGACAATTGTCACCTCGGGTCGGGTGAGGTGAGTCTCCGTGCAAATCAAATGGAGAGTCACCTCACGCGAGGTGACAATTGTCACTTCAGAAGTAACAGCGTGTCACCTCACTTCACACGCCGCGCAGAATATGCCTATTAGTGTCAGCGATCGGAAATTTAAATCTTGATTTAAAAATCGAGATGAATGTCTACGGGATCGATAAAAATATCGTTGTGCTCAGAAAACGAAGCTCTATCAGATGGTGTATAAAAATCGGTATATTTTTCGAAGTTAAATTAGCCAATTGTGCTCGTCAATTTGAAAACAACTAAATCATTTTTTAATTGTTCATTGTGGGAAAGTAAGAATGGTTTTGAAGGCATTACCACAGACAAACAGACATAACTCTCGCAAGTTGTTCATCGACCAAGCATTTAGCCAAATATTTGATTTAGCGGTCAATTTAAAAGTATCGTAGTTGGTAATACCGCCACCTATGGCGCGCACAGTCAATTCCCTTGCGTTTGACGTCTACACACTACCGCCATAGAGGTAACTCTAAGACCAGAAGGTCCCGAAGAAATGTGCTCAACTTTTTGGCTCAACTCTGGTACTATCTTCGGTCCCAAGCTAATCGATTCACCCCTCGAAACATAGGAAAATCCAATAACCCCTCATTTTATCTGTCAAACTTTCATAGCGAATCAAAACAAACATTGTTTAGTACTAGAATTTTGACTAGAATGGGGTACGTTAATCGATTTGCTTGGGACCAATAAAAATGTTATGGTTAATTTGCTTAACGACGTGTTCAAGGTATCATCCAAACCATTTGTGGAATAGTTCAATGATTTGGGTTATCGTTCGTTTATGGTAATTTTTTATTAGGGTAGTCAAGTAGTGAGCCAATTTCAAATCGATAGTTTCGTATTGATTGTTGCTACCGCCATCTGTTCAGCGTACTGCCCACCACAGTGTACTCAACAGATGGCGGTAATGTTTTTGAGACGATGTTTTACAGTGAGAAATATTCAATGTGTTATGTCTGTTTTTGTGGCATTACATTTCAGTGCTAACATTTGAAAACGGCGCAAAAGCCATTTGTAAACAAATGGTTTGTGGGCCCTTTACTCGCTACCCGAAGAACGCCCACGCAAACCAACAGCATCTTCAGGAAGGGGAAAATTTCCCCTACCCGATGTTGCTGTTGTGTCGCGTGGGTGTACTTCAAGTAGTGAGTAAAGGGCCCACAAACCATTTGTTTACAAATGGCTTTTGTGCCGTTTTCAAATGTTAGCACTGATTTGTTGTCACCTTGCTGCATTTAATCTTACATGGTTGGAGCTTAAAGACGAGCTTAAAGATCACCAGCGCTGCTGACGTTTTCGGCAGTTTCAAGAACTGGATTGCATTGCAGGGGGTTGAATCTACTAGACTTATTTCTGACATACCAGGAATCCATGTTGACAAACACCTTCTCGAAAATCGGACGATCAACAACAGAGGGATTTTCGAACATTATAATTTATTTTCGAAGTGAATTTAAGTGAAAGTTCATCAAACGGAACACAGCCAAGTATAGAAGTATCGAAAATAACGTGATATTGCAATCATTTTTATTGAATAATAACCGGGAAATTAATGAGATTTAAGGGGTTACGCCTACCTGCAAACTTTCAAAAAATCGATTTTTTTATTGTCCTAATCGAAAGTATATAAAGTCAAGAATATTTCCTCAAAAGATCAAGTTGATCCGATGAAAATTGTGAAAGTTATGCGACGTACAAAAATATGCATTTATAGTGGACTAAACCCAACTTGAAATTTTAAACGCGATTATCTCGGTGCCAAACATTTCTCGAAATGTATACATTCGATTCGTCCGATTCGTTTTGATTTCTGTTCAGTACTATTTTGTGCAGTCCACGATCGTTCGGATTTCGTCTAACATTTAATTTCGATTTTTTACAGCCGATCAAAGACAAATTTTAAGGATCAAAAATCGACACTTCAACTTTGCAAGGCCGCCATTTTGTCAAAAAAAATTAAAAAATAAAACCGAACGATCAAGGACTAGTTTAACACATGCTTAACGATTTGGCATGGTTTTTTTTTATTTTAGATGACCGCAGTTGGCACCGCAAAAAGCGTTTTTTAAAACATCGTCCACGGGGAGCAGCCGTGCGGGGCACCAGGACCTCGTTTTTACAGCATCGACTGATAAATGTACCATTTAATGTGTGTTCAATAAACGGCAGAAAACCGATTTTCAATATGTTGCGTCGTTTTCGAGAAAAAAATTCAAACTTTCGCTTTTTTTCGGTCTTGCAGGTAGGCGTAACCCCTTAAACCGAGAATTTAAAAATGAAAATTGACTGTCCAGCCTGCAATTGCCAAACCAACCCAACACAAACAACCTCCTCACGTCACTTTATTTTGTAATTAGCCTCATGTTTTCCTGTGGAAAATCTCGGAAATCTGCCGAAAAATTGACGAAAATTTTACTCAGTCTAGAAGTAGTATCAACAATCAATACGAAACTAACAATTTTAAATTGGCTCACCACTTTAGTAGCCTATTGGTCCCAAGCAAACGATTAACGTACCCTATTCTAGTTGAAATTCTATTACTACACTATGTTTGTTTTGATTCGCTATGAAAGTTTGACAGATAACATCAGGGGTGTGTGGATTCATGCAGAACATGCAGGGGTGAGTGAAATAGCTTGGGACTGCTTGGGACCGTTGTTCTGGTACTGAGTGAGCCAAAAATAATAATGATTTTCTTCGGGACCCAGTGGTCTTAGAGTTACCTCTATGGTAGTATCAATAGACTGAGGGAATCCAATCTTTACTTTTATCATATTCATTCCTAGAATAACCTGGAGTTTGCTATAATGGTGCTGATTTTCTATCCGCATAACTGTCTACGTATAGTTAATGAACAGGCCCTCACATGAGTATCTTAGTCCCCCTTATTCTCCACCGCGAGTGAGGTAAGGTGACTCGCTGTCACGAGTGAGGTAACTCTCCGCGCAAATGGTTCAGGGATATTCTACGAGATGTGTGACTCTGTCACTAGTGGGGTAACAAAAGTAACGTCGTATAAGGTGACTCCCCACGCCAATCAAATGGGGAGTCACCTCACACGACGTATCTTTTGTCACCTCACTAGTGATTGAGAGTCACACGACTCACAGCATAGGCCTATCCTGCGCTGCTTGTGAGGCCTGGCTGGAAACGTCGGTCCGGTCACGACAGTGAAGTGACCTATTATCACTAGGGAGGTGACAATAGTCACTTTATGTGCAGTGACTCTCCGTGCAAATCAAATCGAGAGTCAACTCACCTCACTCGCGGCACAGAATAGGAGTTCTATTCTGCGAGTCGAGTGACTCTCTGTCACTAGTGACGTGACAAAAGTCACGTCGTCACATGAAATATGATTTTTTTTCTGTTATAGGCTACAAAACCATTAATAACCACAAGCTTTTGGGACGAAGGCCATCCCGCTATCCAACGTTTGGAAACCTCTGATACAAAAGACAATTTGGAGCCGCCACATAAATAAATGGAAATTTCGAAGTTTTCAGCATGACAAACATAATTTATTTTTCCACAATGAGAGAAATGCTGATTATTAGCATTCTAATGCTTCATATATTTGTTGTAAGACGGTTCTTCAAGTTTGTAGGGAAAGCCATTTATAATTATAGAGATAATGTATGTTTGTTTGTTTTAGTAGTCATTTTTTTGTTTTTGGTTGTTTATGTGTATAGAGCCTTCTACACTGCTTTCCTTGTCATCTCTTCTTCCTGTTCACGAAAAGTTCTACCGAATCAATAAAAATTCTTACATGATAAAAAAATATATATAATTTACTCTCTTCTTTCAGTCACCGGAAAAAACATCTACCTAAAACTCGCACACAGACTTACCTTGCTGCTATGATGGATAGTCTCCTTCCTCCGCGTAATGTAAGTAAGGTATGTCTGTGTGTGTTACCGCGGTTGCTGGTTTTGCTTCCGAAATTTAGTCTTTTGCTTCATGTAAACGACCGACCCCCCATCCGGGTCCAACCACAACAATCAGCTGTTGAAATTATTAGCACTAAGAATAGCAAACTTATTCGATAAGTCGTATCGATAACTGTCTAACGTAAAAGAATATCACAAACACAAACGTTTCCTGGCTGAAGTGGCTTGCATAGCAGCGACAGCAGCAGCATAACAACGGTTGAACCGACGATGATGGACCGGTTTTCATAACTGTCCTCGCCGTTGCCACTCATTGCTCATAATACTGGTTCGTTCAACTGGTGTGGACTGCATCCGCTGCGAAGCCACCACTTCCCCAGCGAGGTGCTGGTAGCTGTTGATGTTGTACAATGAAATTAAGACTTCAATACTACTTAAACTAATCATCACTACTAACGCTAAAAGTAAGTTTCTCAATTGTAAAACTAAAACATCGACAGGACATTCGATATTGCTGCGCAAGACTGTTGCTGTCTGTTGCTCTGATACATCATAATCATCATGACCGTTATTAATATAGGCTTGCATTGGATAGTAGCAATAATTATCAGGGTGAATATTTGTTAAACGATGATTCCACTCGCTAACCGAGTGGACCTGTTCTACTTCTACTACACACATATTTGGCTCACTAAACGACGACAATGACCGGTGGTTGGCAACGTTGACGGTTGCCACCCCGATGGTAGGGAAGTAAGAATTGTAAAAGAAATGGAAATTGAACCGATGATCTACTAGTATTGTAGTTAGCTCATTACGGTTTGTCTGCGCTTGAAGTCACCAGAGGTTCTTCGGCAAAACGTAACCATTCTTGGAGAAGAGGTGCTTGCGGCAGCCCTGATCTTGATCCAGCAATGTACCGGCAACGGATTCGTCACTACCGCCACCCTGTTTGGGCAGTGCCTTTTCGAAGAACGGTTTGGCCGTAGACCCCCCTTCGTCGCCGTACGTAGTTATGGTTTCCTTTTGGCCGTCCTTGGTCGAACGGGTTATGGTCGTTTGGGTATGGCCTTCCGAATCACGGACCGTTTTGCGCGTTTCATACGACTGTAAAAAAAAAGGCAGCATTAGTTTAGTCGACATTAAGCTAAGGCAGCCGACTAGAGTGACTTACTCCATCGGGTTTACGGATTGTTTGTGAGATGATGCTTTGGCCAAACATTCTCGGGCCCTGGAACGTTCCCTCGAAGATCCCATCGTGATAGCGTTGGGAGGGAATTTTACGCGAAGGACGCGCACGTGGTGCCGGCGGCAACGGTTCCGATTCTTTGTAACCATGAATCCAGTCCATAATCTTCTGTTCATCGGTCAACTTTAGCTTTGGCTGTTGGATAGAGCTGACTTCCAAATGCTTCTTTCTCGGTAGCAGCTCTTTCAGTTCCGGTGAGATACGTTGCAACAGGCTGTGCAACTGGTCCGGGTAGATTCTGAAGAAATATGTGTGAATGAATATCTCCGCATTAAAAAAAACTATAAATGAATAAACGCACTCTCCGTCCAAATCCGTGTCGAGACGTTTTTCCGTTTTGAGCTCTTTCTTGATTTCGTCCTCGAAACCGGGCTTGAGGAAGTCCTGCTTCAAGTCGCGCTCGAAATGTTTCACGGTATCTGCAATGCAAGCGAAAAAGAGAGTACGGATGAGAACGGAACAAAAGCAACACTCACATGTGATGTAACGAATATATTATCAGCTCACGTTTTGTACCTTTTGACTACTAAACACGCAATACAATATGCGAAAGGATTTCCATATATGTGAGGTGAACTTACCATCGTACTCCTCTAAGCTCTTCATCATCTCCTGGATTTGGTGCTCGAAATGTTTCTGAATCTCAAGAGGATTGGTGAAGATTTGGACACCGAAGATTTTCTGGTTGTCGAACAGGTCATCGTCGCTGTCGTACTCCTCTACCCAGATGGGTTTCCGAAACTCATCCTTGACAACCGGCTTTTTCTTTCTGTTAGGGTGAAAACAAGAAACGTATATGATTTCCATTGCAGTACTATGAAGTTTATCTATTGGAAGATTTCACGAGCAAACGAGATCTAGGCGGCGCTGCTGTGCTTGTGATGATCGAATCAAAATTTATGTCAAACTGCGAACAAATTTGTAAACAAGCATAAGAAAAACACTTTTTGGTACTTAAATAGAGGAAATTGTTGTAAATTTCTAACTGAAAACGGTTAAAAAACGTTTTTTCCAAGCGATGGTAAGTAAATTAGTCAAAGGAATGCAGTGTAACTTGAATTTATTGGGTGATATTTTTAGGAAGGAGGGAAGCCTACTCAGTGTGCTGTTCCCGGTTGCAGGACACAATATGAGACCAGAATGTTTACTACTACAAGGACTCACAAATTTTTCAAGAAGTGGTACGATTTCATCAATCTCGAAAGGAATGGAGAAGAGAAGATTTGCAAGTTGCACTTCACCGAAAAGGATTTTATCATCAGTAGGTTTTTTCATCTATGAGTATGAATACAAATTGAAGTAATGTTTGTGTTTTAGATACTCGTAGAATGGTACGCCGCGATGCCGTGCCATCGGTGAATCTACCTGAAGCAGATCCGTTCTTAAAATCCGATGGAGTATGCTGTATTTCCACTTGCCGGAACCGGTCAATGAAAATGCTGACGGCTTTTCCAACGGCAGCAACGATGGAAGAAAGCACTGCGCTTGATAAGTGACGTGCCAAATGCTTGCTTGAGGGTGTGCCCGCGGCATTTTAAACCAAGCGATGTATTAACCGGTAAATATCCTGAACACTGACCAAGAGCTTAGTAATTAACTAGGTATTTTTTCTTGTTCTAGTAACATCACGATATTTAAGAACCAACGCCGTTCCAAACGTTCGTGTCAAGCGACTTGTTCGCTGCCCACGTCGGCAGATTCGACGTCTGGAGTATACGCCAAAGCATTTGAAGGACCATACTTATTACCGTTCCATATTCAAGCCCCGGAGATTTGAGTTAGGTTTTGAGCGCTTGTAACTTTGTCATTTTTTCAGTATAACCGATGCAAATCACATCGGCATCGAAAACGCAGCCACCCTCGCGGATTAGTCGGACGGAATCAGCTACATAGTCCAGTATGTCGCATTCGCTGGTTTTGATTTCCTCCCGGCCATCAGCTGAAATTCAAAACAAACATCACATAACCCCACTTCGACTAGCAAACATTTTTTGAAGGCATTATAAGAAAGGAAAATCCTGAGTTAATCGCCACAACAATGTATTTCACTTGTGACAATATTGAATTCTTACCTGTGGATGCCATTATTTTATTCGGGAAAGGATTTTAATTTACCGTAAATTCAAGTTTCGTTTTGCGGACCGTGGAAACTAATGCGGGAACCGAAGAAACATCCTCTGTTCACTAGTTCTTATTTCCACACACAGAGTTCGCATGAGCTGTCATAGTTTTGCTGCAAGACGCCAATTTAAATTTCTATTTCTCAGTCATTCATTTGGATTCATTCTTAAATTCATTGCACTGCCTTTAGTTATTACTCAAAGAATTCCCGAAGAATTCTCTTGAAAATTCTCACGGAATTCTTCTCAGCATTCGCAAAGTATTTTTCCGAAATTGTCATGGAATTATCCTTGGAACTACTGCTCAGGATTATCATAGAGTGGTCCCAAAAACTCCTTGAATAGCTTTTCAAAATTCTCTTCGAGCTTTCATTGAATGCTCTACAAAAATTGGAATAACCTTCGAATACATCTTGAAAGTATCCAGAGGCGTCGCGTGCCTCATTTGTTTACCTGTGCACCAAACTTTGTTCGTTATAGTTTACCACCACATACCTATTAGTTTTTTTTTTTTTCAATGCTCCATGAATTCGAAGGACATATTCTCTATTACTATATTAATCACTACCGTAACATTTGAAGGACCTATCATGTTGTGTAAACAAAACTTGTATGGCCCTTTTCGCGTTAACCGAAGTAGGAGGAATGAAAAACTTAACTAATTCTCGTTTTTATCACAAGGAAGTCGAAGAGTTATTTTTCGACTGAAGCGTAATGAAGAATATCCGTCAAACACTTCCGAAAACATTTTTTGATACAAAACAGTGTCAAAATCAAAAGAAAATTCATGAAGTCCCCGTTGGTAGCTAACTTGAATTAATCAACTCTTTATTCATCAGAACAATACTATCAGAATGGACCAGGGAAGCTAAACTCAACCGACGCAACCATCGGCAGCGTTGCCAGTATTCCAGATTTATCTGGATTTTCCAGATTTTTAGTCACCTTCCCAGATAGACAGACAGACCACGTATAATTCCAGATTTTTTAAATATGTTCCAGATTTTCCCAGATTTTTTAAACAACGTTGGACATTATTGAAATTTTAAGGTTATTCTGAAAATAGTTCACAGTTAACTGTAAGGCGAATTCTTTGTGAAATCAAATGAGAATTTCAAGCTTATTCTGAGTAGAATTACATCCAGTTTTGTAGGTTGCCCATCATTTAGGCATATTGTGAGTGCCACGAAGTGAGGGTTCGATTCCCGCTCCAGCCGGTTCAAATTTTGGCAACCTGAAAATGTCCTTACTGGTCTGATAGGTGTGGTGTGTTGTCCGTTGTCTAGTGTTAAATATTCAGTCTGTGCAACCTCTGGTTGAAGACGGTGTCAATTGTCTTGTCAACTCTGCTGAAAATTGCATGGAGATTTTGTCAATAAAGGAAATACAATCCGGAAGAGAAATCATAGAAAATTCTTATGATGAAACTTAAGGGGTATGCTGATATGAATCGTGAGAATAATTTCAATGGAATTCTGTCCAATGTTTCTATGGAGATTAATTTTCATAAAATTTTAAGCGCAATTTCTGGTAGACTTTCAAAACCATTTTGGCAAAGTACTTGAGTAGTTAGGTAATACTGAAAAGGATTTCAGAATAATTCTGACCTTACCTACAAAGCAGTTCGAAGGAAATTATCGGATAAGTCTGAGAAGAATGTGACAGTCATTGTGTACCAAGGAAATTGTTAAGAATATTTTAAGAATTTCATAGAGAAAAATGGACACAAAATTGAGTCAATTCTTGCCAGTTTGAGGGAGTTGTGAAATTGGAGAGTGATTTATAAGAGATTACAAGAGGTAATGATTAAAACTCTTAGAATTTTACTGGAAAAGTTTAGATATTTTCAAGATTATTTTAGGGGAATATAGAAAAGAAATATGATTGCATTCGAGGATGATTCAAATTGAACTAAAAATAAAAAAAGGCGAAAAAAATTATTCTTTGGCATAAAATTATTCGTAATGGTCATGCGAAGAGTGGAGTTACCCATAGTTTAGGTAAACTGTGTGTGAGTTCCGCGATGTTAGGCTTTGATTCCCATTTCAGCCCGGTTAATTTTACTTCAAAACAATCAAAAAATAAAAAACAATTCTAACCATATTTTCTGCTGTATTTAACTCAATTTTTGAAATGCTGTGTAATGGATATTTGAACTTTTTGGGCACACTGTGTCAATACTTTTCAACTTTTGGATGATTTTAGCAATGCTTACAAGTTATTTGCTTTATATAATTTATTTAAACATGTAATTTATAACCATTCTTGTACTTTAAATAAATTCCAGATGATCATACTGACCTATTTTTACGGGAGATTGGCACAGAACTTTGATTTCAATAGCATTATGTTAAAAAGAGGATTTTTGTGGCATTCCAGATTTTTCCAGATTTTATATTTTACCTGGTCCAGATTTGTCTGAAAATGACCTGGCAACACTGCATCGGAGAGATTTGATTGAGAGATTTACAACTGACAAGAGAGTGAGAGCGAGCTTTTGCGCTCTCTTTCTCCATTAATCTCTTTGCCTGCAAACAGATATCCAAGTGCACAGAGAGAAATGCACACTTTGGCATGCATGCACATCACAAATATTCTTCAAATTAAACTCACACATTCATACCGGGCTGCAAGTATGATACACGTCCAAAGCGTACCAAACTGCTGTTTCCGTGTTTCTCCCGTTTGACGCGTGACTGCTGAAAGTTTCAATTACAACTAGTGGTGCAAACCGCCATGTATTGTGGAAAATTTGTGGTATGTTTCAAGAGGTGATAGAAGGTTTGCTTGGCTTACATCAGGCATTTGAACATTCACAAACTTGCCACCCGCCACCCAAAAAAGCTCGCTTTTAGGTGCACAGGTTGCACATGTGGACGCGACGCCACTGAAAGTCTCCCAAGTATTTCCTTGCAATAATCCCCAACTTTGGAACTATTCTCGGAATTCATTTCCCTTGGAATTTTTCTCTGAATTCCTTTGGAATTATACTCACAATTTTCACGGCATTATTTTCAGAAATCCCTTTGAATTATGTTTTCCCTTTGTAATTGTGCTCATAACTTCCTTGAAATTCACCTACAGTTTTATCATAGAGGTAACTCTAAGACAAGAAGGTCCCGAAATAACGTGCTCAACTTTTGGGCTCAGCTCTGGTACTCTCTTCGGTCCCAAGCTAATCGATTCACCCCTCGAAACATAGTAAAATCCACTAACCCCTCATTTTATCTGTCAAACTTTCATAGCGAATCAAAACAAACATTGTGTAGTAGTAGAATTTCGACTAGAATGGGGTGCGTTAATCGTTTGCTTGGGACCAATAGGCTAGTCAAGTAGTGAGCCAATTTAAAATCGTTAATTTCGTTTTGATTGTTGGTTTTATTGCGAAGGCAACATATCAAGAAGACTGGCAACGGTCCCATTTTTCAAACGAATGGTATGAGACAGGTACACGTTATTTATACGTTGCTTCCACCTTCACTCGAGCGCAGCGCTGCCATAGAGGTAACTCTAAGACCAGTAGGTCCCGATGAAACTTGCTCAACTTTTTGGCTCAGCTCTGTTACTCTCTTCGGTCCCAAGCTAACCTATGCACCCCTCGAAACATAGGAAAATCCACGAACCACTCATTTTATCTGTCAAACTTGCA